GTTTGCCGCGTTGCTCAAGTATTTATGAAACATTTCAAGGCAGCGGACACGGCGGCTCCTACTCTTTTTCCAGCCAGTTGACACTGGAGTTGTTTGGGGCCTGGGAGCAAAAGGCAGCGAGCGACTATAGCAACAGCAGCAGTAAGTAGCCGCAGTAATTGCGGCGGCATGTGAAATATGAGATAAACTCCAAGTAAGGCCAAGTCCATGGATCCACAGCTCCATAGCTCTAGCTTCGAAGCTTGTGGCAAGTTGTTTAGAACTAACCAAACCGAGGAAACAGCAACCGCCACGACAGGCAGGCGACAGGCGACGACAGCATTTTGGTGCCACTTTGCGGCGAATGCGAAATAACTTCGCACAATTGAGCATGCCGACAACGGGCTGCCAGGAAAGTAGAAAAAAAGAAAAGAGTAGTGGCCACAACTCCCAACTTGGGCATTCTATTAAATTAATCGTCAATTATCAACGGAGCTGCAAATTATCTAGGCCTATGGGGAGCAAACAGCTGAAAGCAGGATGCAACAATGTACCTCAAAAGTAAGGAAAAAAGTTGTGTCGAAAATGCTTGGCGGTATTTGTATCCTTACAAGTAAGATCCAATAACTTTTAAAACTGAGCTCATAAAAAATAAGTAGTATTCACCTAATCCATTTAATCTACCTTCGATTTAATAGTCATTCAAATTTAACTATATTTTATTTAGAGTGTGTTATAATAACCATAAATTAATTGAATTGCCGCTTCTTGAAACATAAAATTTCTCCTCTAATTTACTACTCCGCAAACGGAAAGGCAAACTTTTTATCAACCCCTGCCGGCTAACAAATCAATTAAACTTGTGCAGTCGGGTCTAATTAAGCTACCAAAAAACTATTGCCAAATTTTTAGAGGGCCAAGGATCCGCCCTTCGAAAGTAAAGCAAAAGCTTTACATGCAATTGGGCTTGAGCAAACGTCGGAACGGAACGGCCAACTTGTTCGCGTTCGCTTGTTCAATGTGTTTAATTAAATAGCAAGCGTAATTAAATTGCAATTAAATTAATTAAAAAGCACGCAGCCGCAGCACGTTACAAAACGGTTCGGGGTTTGACGTTTGGGCATCCCACTCCTTGTTGCCCGAATTTCAGTTCCTGTGCTCCTGTTCAGATATTTTTTGAAGAGGGTTTTTCCCGCCTGCCATTCAGTTTAGGGTCCAAACGTAAACGGGCGGCAGTGTGAAAGGAAAACAAAACAAAAAATACAATGTGGCCCTGAACATGAATTCCCTTTCTCATCACCACCATTTTCACCAATTTCCTCATTTTCCTTTCGCCGCGCACAATTAGACTTTAATTTTTTATGAGCAATGAATGGTTTCGCAGTTTTACTTTTTGGTGTTAAATGCTTGATTAAGTTGAATGGTGAAAGCTATGCAAATTTTCCCCCTTTTCACCAGGGGTTAGAGTTGGAAAATTGGCTGCTTTGATGTTGCTGTTGTGAGGGGAGGGTGGGTGGAAAACTCCATAACAATTCCCACTCTTTTTCTTAATTAGTGCAATGTCAAAAGTTTAATACTAGCTGCTGGAAAATGCAGGCCCGAGACGTATGCAGATGTTGAAGAAAATGCGGGCAAATTGAAGAAAACTCACTCAAGCTACTGGGATCTTACCAAAATTAATTGGCCAAAGGGTTCGGAATGATGGTAAATGGAGATTTAGAGGAAATCTGTCAAAAACTGTTGGGCGACAGTCTTAACCCTCGGTAAAATAAACAAGAAATTAAACTTGCCTTTATAAACAAAGTTAGGGGTTAAACTTCAAAGCCAAACTTCAAATGTTCGTAATTAAACTATTTGATATCGGGTACATCTTTTTGAACTGTTTTACAATTTGAAACGATAGCCGTATTTCTAGAAAATTAGTTTCGTATTTCTAGAAAATTAGTTTCGGAGATAACCTATGTTATTTATAGCTTTTCTAGGAGATATGGAAACATAAACATAATTCCCACAAACATGATTTATATTTGTCCATTAATTTCAATTCAGGGGCAGCAGATAATCGAAAGTAAATGAGCAGCCAAGCCAGACCAAACCAGACCGACTGACCAATTTCCTACAAAAGTTCCGCCATAATGGACGAGTAAAATCAACAATAATAAAGCCACACAGCACGTAGGCAAAATTAACAAATTGAATTGCGGCAATTACTTGCCACGCTACGCAAAATCCGACAAGGAAAGGGGCAAAAGACAATCCAAACTCAAGTTCATAAAAATGAAATCATGACACAGCTCAGGCAGAAGATCAAAGAGGACAAATCAATAAAGCCCCAGTGCAGAAATAACTTAAAGTCAGCCAAGTCAGTCGGTCGCTCGGTCGGGCAGGAAGAATAAAATACAGAGACGACCCTAAAAACCAACCAACTTGACCTGGTCAAGGCTAAAGGCACATAAAATAAAATTATACAACGGCGAGGAGGGAAAACTAAAGCAAACTGTCTTTTGATCTATGGTGGCTCTACAGCTACAGTTGATGATGATGATGATGATGTTGGATGATGAGAATGGTCGAATGGCGGGATGGCTGGATGACTGGAAGGCTGAATGGCTGGCTCATCCGACAATGTGGAGCAACCTCAACGACCAGTCCCCGAGTAAATTGGCATAAGAAATCAGAAATCACAGAAGGCTGCTCCTCGGACTCAGAGATAAATGGTCATGGCTTCTTCGGCCAAGAGGAGCAGCGAATGCAATATTAAGTAAATATACAAAACGTTGTCGGCACGGCGCACAAAACTAATGATGTCGATGAAGCTGGGGGAATATCTTCTACCGATGCCAGGGACTCGAAGCAACTCCAACTCCGACTTCGACTCGGGTTCAGCCTGATAATGATGCGGCAGACAGGCGCAGATACAAACAGACAGGAGGAGACAGGCGGTGGAAGACGACTGGACACTGGCGATATACACACGCCAGGTAATAAATTTCATTTCTCAGCTGATATGGGCAATTAAGGAACAATTTTGCAGCTGAATGAGTAATAAATAAAAATTGTATGCCAGCGATACGTACGCAGATACAAAACTGCAAGACGTCGACGGCTGTCGGTCGTCGGTTGTCGTTTGTCGGTTGTCGGTTGTTGGTCGTCAGGCCCCAAAGATAGTTTTCGGGATAAAAATACTCGCTGGCACACACACAAAACTGACCAAGGAGGCTGCCCTGAATGAATGAATGAATGAGGGACTGAGTCCCAGCGTCTGAGCAACTCCTCTGCATGCCTGCCCTTTTGATGAAAACAACTCAATGACGTGATTTGAGCCGCCAACGTTGCGGGCATTCTTTTTGCGAAATCCTGCCTCATATAAATAAATCACATTTCACTGGGCCTGATGTGCAAAATTCTTCATCCGCTGAAAAGGGTTCTTCTTCTAAGATTTCTTTTTGGGGGGCCATAACTTAAAGCTGCGAAATACTTTTGCATAATAAATCAAACTTCCGCCGGGACTGCCGCTTTATCTTTAGCCTTTTCTCGTATAGCTTCGTAGAAGTCCATCAAATGTTGCCGTTTATCCGGCAACTTGTCTGCTCTTTGGCATTATTTTAATTACACTCAAGCCGGCTCCCAAATGCAAAGGTTCGCAGCAATAAAACCAGAACCCAGAATCTGCAGTCAGAAGGCTAAAGGTATTTTTTGAGTGCTCCTTTGCACTGGGAGAAATCAGGAGAATTTTATTTATGTTATCAATAAAATTTAATGGAATACGTAAGTTAAATATTCTTTTTATTTTATTCTGTATCGTGTAGAATTGTTCTTTGAAATACATTTTCCGATTTCTTTTATTTATATTGTGTTACATTATTCAATTCTCAGTGCAGCTTGTGGATTTGCTGGTCAGAAAACGAAACATTTTTGGGGCCATCGGTGCCTTTTTGGTAACACATGATATGTCGCCTACCTGGGAGATGCTTTGGCCAGGAGTTGGAGTTGCAGCTCTGGGATTCAGGGGATTCAGGGGCTTCGAAAGGCAGAGAAAGAGGAGCACTTGCTGAGTGGAGAACAATGGAGACCGGCATGGAGCAACATGACACTCGAGTCTCGAATCTCGAGTCGGAGGATAAGGGGTTATACTATACTATATACTCGCACTGGCGAATCCAAAGCTAAAAGCTTCCCATACAAAGGCCACTGGTCAGCGGAGAGTTGGTGTTGAGCAGTTCGGATCTGGATGAGAGGGAGGGGGGAGGGACGACCGAAGGTGGAGTTGTTGCCCTGCCTCTGTTTAAATGTTCTCCATTTTACTGTCAAGTGCGGACCGGACCGGGTTGACATTTGCCAGCGATGAAACTGCCCCTGGGATCCCCCGATATTCCTTTGCCCTTCTCCATTATTTGATTCTGCTTCGCATGTCGAGAATTTTAATTTAAGTATGTAAACTGACATTGAATAGTTTTTCGCCAGGGAGCACAGCTCGCTTCCCTTTTGTTGTGGGTGGCAATGGAAACGGGGGTGGGGGTGGTTCCACCGAAACCCAACTCAATGAAAATTCGGATAGGGAAAAATTGGGTGCGGTGGCGAAAGGGGGGCCTTTACATAGTTTAGGGGACCGGGCGAGTGCAATTTCAGTTTTGTTTGCAATTGGATTTCGTAATAGAAAGCTCTGGCCAAAGTTTTGCTTGCAGCGGGTGTGTGCGGGTTTTTTCAACATGCTGGATTGAAAGTTTTATGACAGGCAGGGGCAGATACTTTTAATAGATATTTAAACCCTCGCCTCGAATTCTATATCAGCTGGGGGAGCTGAATTTGGCATGTTAATGATGCTCCGAACGACTTTTTTAAGTCGAATTTTCTGTAGCTCAACTTTAGTTTGGTGAAGAGAATTTACGGGGTTTAAATTGTGTGGGGCAAGTGAATGTTGTATCTTGAATGTATGAAATAATATAAATATAAATTTTGAAAAATAATAATCATAATTCCTAAAGCTCTTTTATTATATTAATATTTTCTTAAACACTTACCGGTGTTGAGTATGGATGCGCCGTGAGTCGGACTCCGTCCGTTTCCAGTTGCTCCCGCAGGACAAGCTCCAGTTCGTTGCTGGGCGGTGTTTCGCAGAGGATCTCCATGCTGCCGGATAGGGAGTTCGGATCGTTGAGCATGAAGTAGACGGAGGCGGCGCCCTTCTCCCTCAGCGATCTGATGCTCTTCAGCAGCTTGTGTCGATGGGCAGGATTCTCAACGCCGATGGCGTCCAGATCGGGATCGCCGACCTGTTTGCAGATCTCCAGGTCGTCGTAGCCATTGTCCAGGAAGCTCTCGGCGTATTGGGCCAGGCCCAAAGCTCTTAGCCACTCGCAGACAATGTTGCTAACGGCCATGATGAGGTGAGTGGGTGGTTCGGTTTCTGCCGGATTTCTGGGTGGTGTTTTATATAAGACGGAGCTGACGAAGCTGATGGCTCTGCTTACGTGTGCCCTGCCAATTACCGCTACAAAATGGCGTCTATTAGTTTTACTGTGTTGGTGCGCGTCACGTGCTGGGGGCGTTCAGTGCCACGCCTCCTGCTTGCATGCAATTTCCGTTGCCACTTTAAGCTATTGTATTGTTTTAAATCGTCCTCCCTGGAGCATTTTCTCTAATTCTTTTCCCCGCCCCAGACAGTCGTAAAAATTCAACGCGTACACTCATAAAAATTTATATCGTACTTTGAGCATTTTTAGCATAATCCCAGAAGGCTCCAACGCTGGTTTATCCTCACATTTTGTTTGGCGCCGCCGCTGCTCTGCATTGTTTCTGCAAAAATGGATAAAAATGTGAATTTTAGTAGTCAGCGAAAAACGTTTATTTTCAATAATTTAGAGAGCGGCCGGAAAATTGCATAAATTTGAAATGGCTGGCCGCATATGGTGAGCCCGCATATGTCTATGCAAAATAGATGAGATAACTCCCCACTCCACACCCTCTCCCCCCCTTTCACAGCCACACACAGAACCTCCGGAAAATCTGGCGTTCCCACCATAATATATCTCGCACAAATCAATAGAGCCCGCGGCTATTGCCACAATTGATGTTGATGACGTTGCATAGCCGAGATTCAAATCAAACTCAGAATGCTAGAAAATTAATTAAACCCAGTAGCAGCTGCGGTTTGTTCAACTGCACGCCCTCACGCATTTCACCCCCTTTTGCAAGTTCCCACAATCTTTTGGCTGGGAACTCCTTATCTAGGTAAGGGGCTTATAACGCGTGCATTCCCTGCTCATGCACACATATCGTTCCATCATTGGATACATATATACCCCCTCCAAAAGTTGATTCCGCTTTGGAGAATCCATGAGGCGTTAAACGCAAACTAAAAGCTTATACACACACAGTCAATTTTTTTTCTGGAAAGGCGTGTGCCGCGCTTTTGGCTCCCTCGCTCATTGATAAATGATTGATTATCAATCCATTCATGGGTTGTGTGTGTGTGGGTGTGTGGGCGCGCTGCGGTTTCCCCTGGCTTAGCACTAAAGTTTAGTGTTTGCTTTTAGTTTATCTTTAATGGATTATTTTAGTGGTTGCTTGACTCGTCAACGAGCAGCCGCAAAAAAGGGAACATATAATAAGATTGGTAACTTGTAAGTATGGGACTTGGAATTCCCTTTAGGCAAACAATATTTTAATGAAGATACTAAAGGTAGAAAGTGTAATTAAAAAAGTGCTTGTATTATTATTTATAATAACAAAGGTGTTGAATTAAGGTAGACCATTATTTGAGTTAGGACTTTGCTTAACTTTAAATAGATATATTTATCAAAGTTATTTAGTATATTTAGTATGAATTTATATAAATCTCAAGCTTTTGGGAACTCAATATACCCTTTCTCTTACTCTGTCTGTATAATCTTTCCCATAATCCAGAAGGCCTCGCCCAATCTCACCACCCCCACACCTTTTTGGCCAGGACAAACATATCATATAATTTATGTTCCACTCCCCAGAATCACCCACCCACCTCTTTTGCCCGTGACTAAGCTGATTTCTTGTTTTTTCAGTCGCTCTTCTCTAGTTTTTCCTCTGCCGATGTTTTCGTTTTACTTTTGCTGTTTGTGTTGTTGTTGCCTGGGAAGGCAGCTGCTTTGTTTCCATTTTCATTTTCATTGGCATTGAATAGATCAATCATGGACGGGTTCAATGGTATTCGGTTAGCCGTACAAATACTTCAATGATGACCAATTATTCACCAATAAAACTGTCGACCAAATGTCATGAATTGAACTTTTACTTGCTGCGCTAAGCGGAAATCAATCGCAAATTGCTGGGAAAGTGATTTTGAAGAGTCTGTGCAATCAATTACGGCTTCGAGTATTTTTATTTTAATGATTTAATGGAAAATGTGTTGCTAAAGTATGTATATTCGATGGCAGATTAATTGAAAAGCTCGTTTAGATTTACTGGCAATAAAACGTGAAGAGTTCTTAGGGCATTAACTGATTGTTAATTATTCCATTGCGCTAATACAATATTTTAAATGAGAGAGATATGTTTTTAAACCAATAACTAAATTATTTGTTTAATTTTCTTTCCTTTATATTTAACAACATTAACGTAACCAAGCTTAATTTAATTTGCCTTATTAAGTAGCTCCCCATCAAACTTTTTCAATAAATCAATCATAATATATTACATTTTTTATAAAACAGAAATCAACTTAAATGCCAACGCTTCTGGTTCCTATGAGACCCGAACCAACCCTTTCACATCCGACCTATTGGCTTTGCATTTTTTTGGGGTCAAAGTTTGTCGGGGGCTCAATTTGTTTTGCTTTTGTTTTGGTTTTTCCTTTTTGTTTCTGTTTAATTTCGTATCTTCCGCCCACGCAGGGCACAGCGGGTGGGGATGGACAAAAAAATAAAGGAAAAAACTAAACCGAACCGAGCCGAACAACAATTTAATGCAACATCATCGAATAAATTGTGACCGGACTTGTTGCAGTTGTTGGCTTCAGTCAACAAATTGATATCGTGTGGGCGTGTTGTCGTAACGCATTTTATACAAAAAAGATTTTTCTCAGATTTTCGTTTTTTAGGGTCTCCTCGGCCAGTTTAATTTGTCTGTCTGTCTGCCTTTTTATTTTTACATTTTTCATTTAAACGCTGTCATTCGGATCGTGTTTGACTCTTGGCCTTAGCTTAAGACAATTGTGAGAGGTGTTGCCGGGCAAATCAAATTGCCGCTCAATAAACTGGCAAGCAAATTACAATTGGGATTGTTCAGCTTATGGCCTAGTGTTGTTGCAGCGTTGCAGCGGCAAAAGCGACAGCAATTGCAACACGTCGCCAACAGCTGTGTCAGCTGGCACTTGGCTGTCTTGCGATTTATCTATCTAACATCTCACGGGGACACGCGGCGTATGCGCAATTGCCATTTAATTAAAAATTATTTGCACAGCCCGGCCAAACAATTTTTCGTTGATTTCATTTATCATTATTTTTGTTGGATTTTACATTTTCGATTTCATTTTTTTTGTTTTGTCTTTGGTTCATTTGTGCTCTGCAGGTGCGCAACGGAAACGACATAAACAAAATGTTCACACGCTCGCCGGTCCACGACTTTTACTTAATGGCAATTAAGATGGCCAAGTCCACGCACTTCTCGGGGCAATCTAATTATAATCATTAGCTGGGCAAACACAGAGGCGCACATTTATATATTTATACAATTTTTGCATAGTCCCCGACGAAGTCGGTGGGCAATAAAAATTATACAGAAAAATAAGAGAAGGAAAGCAAATAAATTGCCAGCAGACCGGGGCGTCTTCATTAATGATAGGAAGTGGAACGCCGAAGAAGAGGCCAAAATCCATTTGACAACATAAAATTTTTGTTTCAAGCAACTGCCGCCACTGGGGGCATTAATACCAACGGCTAATTAACTTGTTGTTGAGCTCGTAAAATAGTTTGGCCGCTCATCAAGATAATAAAGGCCGGGCCAAGTCGGCAGCCAGCCAAGTTTCGGTTTCAGTTCGGATCTTTAATTGAGCCCAGAAAATTGTTGACTTTTGTGGCGTCAGCTGCAGGGAAAAAAAAGCAGTCAAAACGATTCACTACTGCCACATATATATATATATATAAGTATATATATATATTGGGCACTTAAAGAATGTCCCGAAAAGGGAACGGAACTGGAGCGAGCGACCTGACTGCAGTCACTTTTGGTAATTAGATTTTCAAGTCGAGATAATGAAGTGGACATTAAAATTTTACAACCTCCGGGGCTAAACACATATACACATGAAACCGAAAGCAGGCGAACGCATTCAATAAATTAATTACGAATTTACGAACCTTAGACTAGCCCCTTTTTAATACCAGGTGGAGTGGAGGGGCGGCTGCTAGCCACACCCAGCAATAAATATTGAAAACTGTCCCTGTCTCTGGGCGAAATCCAAAAGCCAAACCAGATTTGGATTCACACACATGTCTGGCATTGGCATTTATAATGTAGTATGCATGACTCTAATTAAACCGCAATTGTTGTGTAAACTTTAAGGAATTGATTGCTCGGACACGAACCAGGGGACAGGTAGTAATGCAAGAAGTCTTGCTTGGCAATTAAGCAGCAATTGACTCCAGAGAGGTTGCCATGGCTGCAATAAATGAATCTTGCACTGCAAGCCAAGTCTCTTGGGAGATGGAACCTAAATACTCATTGAGGGGTAGTAATAAACAAAATGATTTATTTTATTGCTAAATGAAACCAGATCTTCTCTATTTATTAAGTCCTAATTCATTTGGATAATTATCTGTCTGCGAATTTCTAGTAATGAATTTAATACGGGACAATTGCAAAATAGTTTTAGCTTTTTATGCTCATCTCCAAATGTTTCAGAGCCATAATGTTAACTCATTAAAGCATAATAAAAATAAATGGGATTCTTGCTGAATGAAAACCAGATCTAACATTAATTTACTTTATTTTCTATCTGAATTAGAATTGCTTTTAATATGTGGCTATAAATGAAACCAGAAATAGTACATTAATTAAATGTTATTTTAGTTCGGATTAATGCAAGGAGAAATAATTTGTATTATTTATTTCACAGAATATTTTTACAATTAGTAAAGTATGTGTGTTTTTTGAAAGGTAAAACTCTTAAGCCAGAAAAGTCAGGATGACTTTAAACTCCAAAGAAATTAAAGCCTGAAATTAGGCAATTCAACAAATTATATTGTCCAATCAAAGGCCTCTAACGACTTTAACTTTCCATGTAAAACTGCACTATCTGGTATTTTTATAGCCTCCTTGGCTCACCCCTTAATTGCCTTCAATTGAAGACATATCACGGCCACCGATTGATGTTGTTACTCTAGTTTTATAACCCATAACCGAGGGCTATAGCTGAATATAATAAAAAACCCAGCTCTGTGGTTGTCTAAGAATGCTTCCAAGCCCATCGCACATTGCCCTCCCAAACCAGAAATGTTGCAATCATAATTTTTGCTCTCCCAGCAAAAAATGCTTCATGCTGGGCCCGAAAGCTGATGACCTTTTGGCATTTTGCATTTTCAAACACACATTCGCGAAAGGCAAATGCCCCAGAGCCAAAGCTCTGGCGCGGAGTAAAAATAAATTTATATCATTTTTTTCGGTATTCAGCCGCAGCGGGTGGTCAACAAAAAGAGATACTGGAAGACAACCGCGCGCAGGTGGCTTCAACAAAACTCAACCTCAAAATAAAACTTTGAGTCTCAAGTTTATGCTTATAATGTTCCATAATTTAGCATACTTTGTTTCCCTTTATTTGTTAG